ACTGGAAGCATTTTCCACAAAAGTCTCTGCTGCAGTTGACTTTACCTGTTCTGGTTCTGCCACCCTTTCCTTCAGCAGCAAGGTGTTCAGTCTTCTTCCAACCACAAACAACACAGTACATTCTGCTCTTGAACTTGGGCACATTGGCAGGTGGTGGTGGTGGTGCAGTGGGAATTTGTGGCAGAGTCATTACAAAAGGTGAGGGCTGGCCAACAACCATCATTGCATTATCTCTCAGATTTGCAACAGCATTGGCAACAATAAATGTATTCATTGTGAGTGGATTTCCCAGTGGAGTAACAGGGTTGACTTGAGCTGTGGCATAAGTTGGTGGGGCACATTGGTGCGCTTGAGGGAGTTGTGGCAAGGATTGTCTGGTCGCCCTGAATGTAGTGTTCAAAGTCTGCATATCAGCATCACCTCTCCTTGGAGCAACCTGCGCCATACTCTCGTGGTCTAGCTTCTTCTTGTAGTGAGCCGCTAGCAAATCCCTTGTTTTGGGCCTAATTTGTACAACTGTCTCATCACCTTGGCTCCACAATCGAAATCGCTTTGCCACTTCAAGATTCCACTCTCGTGCAAATGAATGATATGATCTCGAACCAGTAGCAGCCTGCAAACTGAACCTTGATTGCCACTCATCAAAGAGTGTCGCCTCTGCTCTATCAACGTCTGTTTCGGTAGTGCTGCTGTCGGGTGATCGAAGAGGGAACCAGGGCTGTTGCTGTGTCAATCACCGAAACGCTTCAATAGTACTCTCCCGACCAGTGCCAGAAGGTAGGAGTTTCGCCAGCTCATGTTGAATTTGATTTCGATGGTTGTTGTTATTGGTGTCAGCAACTTCTGCATTTTCCAATAAGCGAAGTTCCTCGATAGGAACAGCATGTCGACTTGCTTCTAATTCTTCTTCCGTGACGTTAAGCAAGACTTCAATGTCGGCATCATCCCCAAGGGTATCCTGGAGATATTGGTCTGCGTTCGTTGGTAGATCCTCCTGGCTTCCATCGGCATCCTCATCATCCAATGTCACTGGATCATCCCTGCTTCCACTATTGCCGTTTTGTACTGGATTCACCACTGCCTCAAGATAGCTTGGTAGTGCATAGCTGAATCCCATGTATTCCTTCACCTCTGAGTGGACCGGAGCATAAACATCATGAAATGGGAGCTTGTCTTTTGGATACCCAATCGAACGGGCATAACTGTTCAATAGCAACAGCTTGTCGGTTCGACTTGTACCGTGATCAGTGGCCCCCAGTCGAGTTATTGTCTTCTGATGATTCCTTTCTTCAAAGAACAAACAGATAAGTCTCTCACCACGATGGATACCTGGTGTAATGTTTCAGTGGCCGAAAAAAGTGATGTTAGAAATGTGACTGGGATTGGCAATAACACCAACTTGAACATACCCACATACCTATGTAAGTCGCTGTGAGGATCTTATGGCCTAAATCCAAGTTGTCGCGCTCATTGCTGTTGGTACCTCTTGCCACAAACATCACCATTGTCTTGGGATTCCACCGATATATGTTGACAATGTCTGGATCTGGATCACTTAAACAACCGGAGTCGACATGTTTAAACAATTCCTGCACAAGCTTCCTTGTCTTCTGAGTACTGGGCTTCAGAAACCTTCTTGGTGGAGGGGATGTGTCATCTGGTGATCGAGTGCTGATTTTGGCTTCTGCTTCTGCATCCTTTGCCACTAGGTAGTTGTAGACAGATTCGACATTGGCACGGAGCTTCTCTGGAGATGGTACCACCTTGCGACATGCTCGAAGAACTTCTTTTGTGGTCGGTTCCTTACCCTTTTTGGCTTGCAGCAATGTCTTCTTGTTCTCAAATTCAACAGGATTGACATTGAATAAAGCACGATGAAGGAGACCGCGAACAATTCCAGCCAGTGGTGACTTCAGGTCATCCAGTAAATCATTCCATCTTTTCATCCAATGGAAGACATCTAGTTTGATATCGGCGCCTGGGAAGCAGAAAGCAAGTATCTTCCTCACATTACAACAGTTGTCAACCCACACCACCTTGACCGATTGTTCCTGAGGACCGAAGAACTTTGACTCATCTGGTGGAGGGAACGATCTTGCTTCTCTGTCTGTCAGTTCTGCCAATCGATTCTCATATTCTTGGCAGTCATTGTGTCGGCCAATTGCCTTTGCGGCAGCTCGATTCCGGTTCAGTCTTTTGCGAAGTCTGATCAAATCTTCTTTGATTTCACTAAAAGACTCTGACATCTTCAGCGCTTTCCAGAATACTGTGAGGCCATCTTCATTCTGAATAGTAATGATGCACTTGAAGGGAGCAAAGCTCTGCCCAGCCTTGGTCCACACTCTTATCTTTCCCGCCAGCTTGTAGTTGAAATCAACCTTGATCGCGACACCTTCAAGGCTCATCATTTTGGACTCCACAAAATCCTTCCGCAACTGAAACACAGTACTCACAATGGAATCAATGCGAAATTTACTCAACACAAGGCCATTGTACCCTTGCCGGTCACCAAATTCTGAGAACAAAGGGACCATACTGTCGTCATCCTCCTCCTCCTCCGCTGCGACTGCTGGAATTGGGTTGTTGTTATTGCCCGCTTGACCATTCTGGTGGTTCTGGAGAGCTTGAACGGCCTGGTTGTAAAACTCAAGAGCATCTTCTAGGCGAAGCTCCACTGCTGTTATTTCATCCTCCAGCTTCTGATAATAGGCACGGGCCTTCCCCTGCCAACCTGGAATCAGTTTCTTCAAACCATGAGCTTCGTAATCATCAGGATCAGCCTCCAACAGTTCAAAGCAGGTGTTAATACCAGCATCAATTAGACGTTTCAGCTTCACGGTACCCAGTCCTGGGAGTTTGTTCCTCTCCCCATAAGTGTTGTTGTCATCTTTGTCTCCCAACAAATAAGCGAATGTCAAATCAGACGAATGTCTTGAGCGTGCTTGCTGCAGTTCAAGATTTAACCGAGTCAATCTGCCACTACCATCAAGCTGCCTTCGAGCAATCCTGGCTGTTTCGGCATCAGGATATCTCTCCAGATTAAGAGCCTTTTCAATTCGACGTTGCTTCTTGTTGGGACGCATGATCTTCTCAGCAGCCACTGCTGAAAGGTACATCTGATAGTCTGTAAGGTACTGGTCAATTGCCAATCCTTTCAACCTCCGGTGGAGTTGGGCGGTGGAGGTTGTAGCGGCTTCTTCCACAATGAACCGGTAAAGTTCATCATCAACAGCATAGCCACCTTCACCTAGAAAGAAGGTAAAGAACCCTACATAAACCTTGGCATCCAGTTCCATGGATTCCTTGTTGTAGCCTGCGAAACGCTTGGTACATCCTCTGCAGTAGTAGAGCATAGTGTCCAAATACCGGTGTGAGTGCATGCCATACAGCACTTTGGGGCAGTTGATCCAGCGGGCCCTCTTCACATCCACGAAACTGTTCTTCCGGCAGTGAGGACAGGATGGTATGTGGTTTGGAATGATTAGATGTGGCACGAAGCATGCCATGGGCTTGATATTGAAACTCTCCACGCTCCATTTGCGAGCCTCTTTACATTGACTCAGAAGATTGCTATCAAACTTTCCACTTTTGGGGCAGATGTTACGCCAGTTACTCTTGCCAAAGAATCCGCGGGCATCAGTATCAATAGCCTTCCTTGTCTTCTCTACAAAGCGCCATTGTGCATTACTCAATTGCTTTGGTTTCTGTGTCATTGTCATTGTCGCTGTTGTGTGTTTGGTGTAAAGCATTCCGATTGACACCAACAGTTGACAGGCGCGGCGCGAAAAGTTTGAAATCGTTCACGAGGGAGTTAGGGATAGAAATTTGACGCTCTAAATGAAATATTTCGACACCAAATATAGACTTTGCAACAATGTATCGAGTTTAACACATTAAAGACTAAAGGAAACGACGTCCTAGGACGCCCTTGGAATAAGACAGAGGACTGCACGAGATTTAAAGGGGGTTCGGGATTCGGAGTCCGGGATTGAATGTCAGTCCCGTACTCTAAATCTTTCTCTTTCTTTTTTTTTCTCTTCTTACGAGTTACCTATAGTTCGCCACACTCAGGAAGCCGTAGTGCACGGCTTATTGCATGCATGCATGCCTGCACCACAGAAATGTGGTGGAGACCCGTCCTGCGACTGTCCTGCCTTCCTTTGGACAAAACAGGAGAGCTTGATAACAACGGCATGTAGAATCTGGGCACTGCCTTGACTCCGACTGGATCCAAGCGAATGGATGAACTGGCTGTTGGTGACATGGTGCTCCCCTCTTCTATGTGTGTTGAGGTTGGAGGGAAGACCTTGACGCACATGCATACTTTTTTCATCCACCCACAAGCTGACCAACCCTCTTAGGCTTGACCCAATAAGTTTTCTCATAATAAGTATTCCTTCCCTGTTTCAAGACTGTGGATAACTTGTACATTGGAGAAGTCAACACTTGGGAATCATGGAATCCGTTATGATGGCAACTGCCTTTGCTGCTCTCCTTTCTCGTGGCGTTGAAGTGGCCTTCAAGTTGTGTGGTCTTCCAGCCATTGTTTTTGGTTGGAGGGTGGATTGTTCTTGCAGCCAGGCACCCTGTTGGTTGCAGGAGCGAGATGGCTGCTGGAACAACCAACATGGATTAGAATGATCCGACCAATAAAGACCAGAAACTTGATTACAGTGATAGACCAGAAGAAACAGCCCACATGTTTGGATGGAGACCAAGAACGAGTCTGTATCACTTCACCAGTTGATGCAGTTGGCTCTTGCTGTTCATTCGTTGCGTGTACTTGGGATTGGGGTTCGTGTAATACGATCAAGAGAAGAAAGCCCCAGAAGAGAAGGCAGGCAAACTTTGGTAGAGCTACTGGCTAGAAGAAGAAGAAGAAGATAGAGACGTCTGTATGGAGCGCAAGATTCAGGATACAGGCTGCTCTCTGGCGTGCGCTCGGTGCGAGGAGGCAAAGAAGCCCCAAAGATTTTCAACGATGCGATCAAAGGACCGTTGACAACAGAAAACTTCTCTCTCTCTATGCATTAATTTTAATGAATCAATCTATGATACAGCCCAGTCCACTCCATGCATGGGCAGGCACCAGTAGCTCTCTCTCTCTCTATACGGTTCGATCGATCGCCAAGAACTAACTTAGAATAGCTAATTGAACAAGTCCTTGCTTCGACTAATGGTAACAGAATCGCTGCCGCCGGTAATGGCAAGTTCGAATGGTTTGGAAAAGTTGGGAATGGTATCTTCATTCCAAAATTGTGGATTGTTGTATCGGTCATCGTTGTATTCCCCGTAGGGCAGCAGCACTCGAAAGAGGCTGTGGACAATAACGTAGTACGTGACATCGGGGCTGGAATCCCAGGCAAACGTGGAACAATCGCGGGTATACGTATCTCCACCAATGCAATTATCGTTGTTGTCACCAGCAAAAACATGCAGCCGGGTACCGGGAAGACACACTTGCGCTTGGAGCGGACCACCCGTCCCCACAACCTTGTACCATAATCCTCGTGGGACACGATCTTCCGGTCCATCGTAGTACTGGCCGTAGAATTCCTTGTCGTCATAGCCACATTGACTTGAGAGCAAATCGTAGAGATTGAAACTTGCCGTCAAGGTATCCCCTTGCGCGGTGTCACCGACGGCCATTTGAACGGCCAGTTCCATGCGATCATTGTGTCCTTCCACGGACAGGGCAAAGTCTCCGACGCGATTGGAAAATCCGTGCACGAGAATGTAATAGTTCTGTCCCAGTTCGGATACCCAGTACGTGGAACTGGCGTAGCGGTGGACATTACAGTATCGTCCAGTCGAGTTGGTCCCATCGTCGTTGCCTGCCACACAGGACAATGCACCGCAACTGCTGCCGGAAAAGACGGATAATTTGGAATCGAGTTCCGTATCTTCGCTGCAAGTGGAAATGGTCATGCGACTCCCCGTGCCGGTCACTGTATACCACACACCGGGACTGGTAATTTCCACACCACAGCGTCCCACTGTCACATCCTTACTAGCTCCTCGCGTGGTGCCGTGGACAAAGAGATCGGGCAACGTTCCTGCCTTGACGGGAGCGACAATGGCCAAGGGTCCTTGGGCATTGGCACACAAGTCGTTGGGTGGAACGGGAGCAATGGGTGCCAGTGAAGGAGATGTGGACGGGGCACCGGTGGGGCGGCTCGTGGGAGGAGCTGTAGCAGGTGGATCTGTGGGCGGAGGAGCAGATGTGGGAGAGTCGGTGGAGGGCGCCATTGTTGCGTTGGTGCTTGTGGCATTCGAGTCTGTCAGAGTGTCAGTCGTTGGAGTAAACGTGGGAGCTGCAGTGGCTAAGTTCATAAAAGGAGAAAGGATTGGATAAGAAAAGAGAAAAAGTGAGATTTGGTATTCTTTTCTTTCGCATGAAACCTGACACTTGCTGCTTACCATGAAGATTTCGCAACCCACCCGCCCCCACGTATTCTGACTGCAAAGCCAACAAGGCATAGCCAAGAGATAGAACAGAGATCCTCATGGTGGTGGGTATTGTAGTCTAACTATTATTCGTTGGGACAATTTAATTGTCGAGAGCTTTTTGTTACCCAAACAGATGATCGACGGTCACTGTTTTTGTGTCACAAAGAATGAGAAAACCGTAGATAATTTCCCTACTCTAAACCCCTTATTCATGCATGAGAAAGCTGTTGAATTGAATTGAATCCAAGTCTCGATCTTCTTCTTTTGGCCAAGATCAATCGTGGCAGATAGAGTTGGATGGCTACTAGTACAACAGTCAGTATAGAAGTGATCCTTAGCTAAATCCGTAGTGCACGAGGGCGGCACAACAGGTGACCTAAGTACCATCCAGAACACATGTTAGATTTAGACCATGCTTCGGCGGTTGCCACCAGTCAGATCATCTAAAGCAAGGATAGTGCCTCAACAACGGCTCGTGCTCACGTCATCATTATTCCGCGAAATATCGGAACAAAAAGCACTCGAGGCTTTCAGTTTTATTTGCCAGTGAGCCAAACCAGGCACGATTTTGTTGTCAGCCATGAACCATTCTCAACAATGCCATCATTATTTATGAGAATGGCGTTCAGAGTTAATCTTACTGGAAGTCGCCCAAGAGCTTGCACGTTCTTCTGTGCGCAACCTCTCGGTTGGAGTATCGCACCTCTGGTTCACTTGTACACGTATGCCATACAGTACTGGTACGGTAGCACCAATGGCATGAAGCGCACCTGCAACGTCGAACCTGAAGCTTGACGGAAGCCTCAGCGACAACACCATGACAAACTTGGGCCATCACGCAGACGCCAAACAGTCGGCAAAAGAAAAGAGGGAACAAGCTGTGCATGGCGATCTTAGCAACATTCACAACGACGCTGTCCCGCCCAGCACGAGAGATACCGAGAGAAGGAAACGGGAAACCAAGTTAATGGATACTACAATACGTTGCTCCTACGAGTACTATTGAGAGACGAGCTTCATGTCGTTGTAACGACGAAGCAAAAGCCCACAACGGCATCGGCTAGAGTGACGTTCACACAGAAGCACAAATCGGTTCCACCCAGCACGAGAGATACGGTACCCACTGTTGATTGAGTTACGAGGTTCACGTCGTTACAACGACGAAGGAAATGCCTACAACTTCATCGGCTAGAATCGTAGGAACCTCACTCAATGTATACTAGAACGATCCTCGCTCACGACGGACCCCTCCACACAGCCGAACAAAGAAAAAAAGGAGAAGGAATCGGTGCTCCAGAGGAAGTGTCATTCCTTAACATGGATATTTGTCGGGAACAAGTGAATCCCCTGCGACGATGATGGAGCTGTTCAATCGCGGTTGCTGGTTCACCAATGGATGGCAGCTTGGCTGTGTTGACGTTCTTTCACATCGTCATGCAATCTACCATATAACCAGATGCTCTCTTTCGTATATGAATCGGAGTAGATTTGCATTGGGGAAACGACGAACATTTCATCCCCGTGTGTCAAAAATTTGAACCTCAAGCACATGTTACCGGCAAACAATGATCTTTGTTGTCTCTCAATCGGTCACGCGAAAAGCCCCTTGAGAATGCGTTTCAGCTGTTCCAAGTGCAGGCAAACTCCCTTGAACCTGCAATTCCGAAAGGGATCCTGTCGGCATGTATCATATGTAGTAGCGAGCTTGTCGCAACAGAGGGAATGCACGTGGGAACGAATGCTCCATGGCGCGATAGACCCGGTCACGTATATCAGTATTTCAGTTGCATTCGAGTGCAGGCAACCACCCTAACTAAGCAACAACAATTCAAGATCTGGACCGTTGGCGCTTTCCTTTGTACACGGGAACGAATCCTCCCGACACAATCGTACGGTACCGATGTGCCAGTTGGAGCATACAAAGGGAAACACCCATACTATGTAGCGTGAAACGGACGAATCGCAGCCGACCCAGAAGAGGCGAGCCTCCCAGTGATTGCTCTCGGCAAATAGTCTCATTTCTTGTTCATCGAGCTGAATAAAACAGGTTGTTCGTTGATTTGCTTTGCCATCACTTGTTCATTGCATACGGTAGGGTCACAAAGCAACCATGTCCAGCGCCTACAAACTCATGGGAAGTCTAGGGGCAGAAGTGTCCCTTGAAGATGGCCTATCAGCAGCGTTGAAGGATGGAACCCTTCATGATGTGACATTGGTGGGAAGTGATGGTGTCCAAGTGTTGACTCATCGATTGCTCCTTGTTGCCCGAAGCAAGGTGTTCAAGACCATGCTGATGGGAAGCTTCTCAGAGGTGACCAGCCCTACTGTAAACGTTGACTTTCCTGGAGCAGTTGTCAATGCAATTGTTGAGTATATCTACACCAGCAAAGTTCAGCTGCTCACAGAACTCAACCCAGACAATGTGGAAGTGAGCGGTGACATCTCAGAGGCTGGACTTGAGGAATTTGAAATGCTCATCTCCATGACGGCAGCTGCGGCCTACTACAACCTCCCCTACTTGTGTGACAGTGCCAACAACCTCATGGAAACATATGTCAAAAAGTTTCCTTCCTTGTCCCTTGCTGTGTTGGAGGCATGTGCTCAGGAATACCCTGCTGTATCAAACAATTTGCTTGAAATGGCCTTGTCCCACATTCGACAAAACAAGTTTGAGAGATTGAATGAAGGAATTTTGTGTTCCTTGAGCTCCCCTGTTCTGTCAGTCATTCTCAGTGATGAGAAAACGGAGGTGGGTGAATATGAGCGCTTTGAGATGGTTCAACAGTGGTCTGAAGGTGGTTCTGGTGGTGTTAACCGCAAAGTCAGTGCCAAAACATTGGTGAAAGAACACCTGAAGCTGCATCTGATTTGTCCCAATGTACTAGCCAAATCAGTTGCTCCCTCTGGACTTGCTGACATTGAGCAGATGACAGAAGCTTACAAGAAACACGCTTTGAGAGTGTCATACAGCACTTTTGGACATTTTTGTGGGGAATTAATACTTCGACAGTCAAAGCCAGTCTGGAATGGAAGTCAATCAAACACAATCACTGAAACCCGGTCAGGTGTATACTGGAAGAGTGACAAAATGACATGTCCCCCCCTTGTCAATGGATGCAAATATATGTGGGCCATTTGTACTTCTGGTACCAAAGCTGCTGACGATATCATGATTGGTGTAGCCAAACATTCTACAACACTGAATGACAACAATTATTGTGGGAGTCAGCCAACATGCTGGGCTGCATATGGAGACAATGGACATGCATGGTACTCAGGAGCACAGAAAGAGTTCATTGGTGATGGTGCAAAATTTGGCAATGGGTCCCATGTCACAGTTACACTTGATCTTTCTCATGATGAAGCAAACAATGGCAGTTTCTCCATTTCTGTAAATGGTGCAGCTTCTGTTATTGTCAGTCGCAACATGCAGACACACCTTGACAGTATCACTGATGGATATGTTCCAGTGGTATCATGCTTTAGTGGAAGTAGTGCAAAGATCCTCAGCATTGAGGAGTTGGTTTAGAAAACCCAGCTCCCTGTCCCATCGGAGCAACAACAAACAGCAAGAGGCACCAGTTATGTTCCCCTTCCAAGTTCCTGCATGATTTTGGAGCCCTATGGTTTCTGAATATTTTCAAAACGGGAACAACAGTAAAATCATATATTCCATTTAGCAGCTACCGTAGCTATTCATGTTAGTCTAGTTCCCATGTATGTAATGTAGGTTCCTGGATCTCTTCTTGAAGCACTCTTCCATGATTTCCACATTTTGATGCCTACAAACAGCCAACCAAATTGGCCCCAAACCTCTCGCCATGGATCCTGCAAAGCCAAACCTTTTGGCCCCTGTAATGGCCCTCGATTTCTCGCCCCAGACCCTCCTATAGAACCGGTAGTCCTGAATTTTGACTCTGGCTTCCGGAGATAATGTACCTACTCTAAACCCCCGTTAACAAACTTCTGTACACAGTACCGTACCTGGTACACGGTACCCGTAGGTAGCTAGGGGGGTTTAGTTTAACAGGGGCCTACCGGTATTAGTAGAATATTATTATTATCTTAGAAAGATCCAAAGATCCGAAGATGTCATGTAGACCAACAGCCAACAAAATAGAAGACAACAATGGTGATATTAGAGTCCTACTGTAGACCAGCTAAGAGCCAACAAAAGTAGAAAATGACAACAATGGTGGTGATATTATTGGAGTGG